GTGTATGGCCAAGCAAATGGCTCAAAAACAACAAATCAAAACAGGTGATTGCTCCTGAAGTGAGTGGGCCACCATGCAATGTGGTGAAGAGCCAGTCAGGCGCTTGACAAAGACCTCAAAGCCTCAGCCAGCCTGATCCACCTTAGACAAGCAGACAAAGACCCATAGGACACCACACTCAGGTAACCATGTGAGGTCCTCTGTCTGCAGAGCACACAGCTCTGACACTCAGCACATGGTGTGGAGTCCCAGTTGGACAGAGCACCAATAGCAGTATTACTGGAGCAACAGCTGGTGCACAGCAAGCAAAAATTGAATGGTCCTGTAGCACTTTCATTTACCACCAGCACCACAAGGAAAGTGACATGCAGCCAGAGTGGCCTGGTCACTGCACCATGTTGCACATGTGCATGGAGGGCCTCAACAGGGAAGGGATCATGGGTGAATGAGGCCTTGCTGTCCTTGGCCCATGCCTGCTCCACACCATTTCCACCAGCAGCCAGACACAAGGTTGGTTGGTTGGGCTTGCCACACCATGAAGTGTGTGCTCCCTTGTCACTGCAGCAAGTGCAGCAGCCACACAGCCACCACAGCCAACAAGATCCAGCCAGGTGAGGAAACCCAGGACTGTCACCTCTGACACTTGCCAGGCTGCCACACCCATGGTCTCCATGAACTTGGCAAAGTCCTGCCAGAGGGTTATGTAGCTCTGCATGGTGCTGTACACACAGCTGCCCTCCAGAATGGCCAGTTCTAGAACTGCCACTGGTGGAAAAGCCAGCCACCTGATCCACTTCTGAACGCCGTATTCATTAAAAGGTGACAGTGTCACCTTTTGAAAAAGCCATTATGTACAGTGAAAGAAAGGCCATGATTTCTGGAAACAGTACATTGCTGTACATAATGGCCAAAAAGCAAATATCGTGTACAGGTGGATTTGTGTATTGCTGTACAGTGATGTAGGGAAAAACACTGATGGAAGAGAGAAGGAGGGTTTTTTTTTGTTTGTGTTTCAGAACAACAGTGGAGGAAGATGGAGTTGGAGTGAGAGGGAGGGAGATGGAGTGAGAAGGATGGGAGTGCCTCATCAGATGAGGGACTTCTTGCAGGGGTGTGAGAGTGAAGGGGTGGGAGAAGGAGGAGGAAGGTAGGCCTGGAAGCCTGGGTTGGATATGGCATTGTAGAAGCCACAGATACCACTCAGCTCAGACTCATCAAGGAAGTGGACAAGGAAGTGAAGCAGCCAGGTGCTGAGGGAGGTCAGCTGGGCTTCCTGGATGGTGGTGGAGCTGAGGCAGATGAACTCATGGTAGAGGCCAGCTGCGAAGGAGATGTAGTGGGTGGGGTTGGCCTCATAGAGGATGTGGTGCTCAGAGGCAGAAGGAGGAGGCAGCTGAAGGCTCTCAAAGATGAAGGAGTAGAAGGAGAGTGGGAGAGCAGATTTGTTGGGATGGGAGAGGAAAGAGGGGATGAGGCGTTGGAGTTCCCTCCTGAGAGGGGGGATGCTGATGTGGTGGAGGTAGCAGGTGGGTTTGGGGATGGTGGTGGAGGGCTGAGGAGCCCAGATGCTGGCAATGTTGGTGGACTGGTGGTGGAAGAGGACGCAGTAGAAGCTGCTGAGGTGGGGATCAGCACTTGGGTGGTCAGAGCTGTAGGAGACAGAGGAGTAGTGGAAGTTGAGGGTGTGGAAGTGAGCCAGTGATGGGTGGGTGTTGAGGCTGCTGATGGTCTCAGCCAGGTTGATGGGAGATGAGGTGAGGTAGACCCCAATGCCATGGGTGGCAGAGAGACGTTCAGCAGTGTCAAAGACATTCAGTGGTGTGTCGCTGGTATGGAGGGAGAGATCATGGAGGTAGATGGTCACCTGTGGGAAACAGGAGTTCAGTGGCAGAGCAAAGCACTTGTGTGATGGGAGAGGAGAGAGGAGTACTGGCTGAGAATGGAACTGAATCTTGTGTGTGACCATGGCCTTCTGGAGTGGCACAAACTTGGGTGTGAAGGCATGAAGAAGTGAGCTGTGAACCTTCTCATTTGGTGATGGTGGGGGAGTGGTAGGTTGGGGGCTCTGCATCAACTTCAATGTCAACCTTTTCCTTGCCCTTTGTTGTCTCCTTGTCCTTGGCCTTCCCCTCACGCTTCTTGGAGGTGCCTGAGAAGGTAGGGAAGAGGTTAGACAAGGACTGACCCACAACAGTCACAGTGGGGAAGGGCACAAATGTGCAACAATTGCAGGGAAACATAGAGGTAGAGAGGGAGGGAGGAGAGAGACTGATGTGCATTGGTCAAGAAGAGAGGGGATAGGGGAGAGTGACTGATGTGCATTGGTTGAGTGTGAAGGGGAGTGAGGAGAGCAACCAATGTGCATCAGTTGAGAGGGAGGGGAGAGAGGAGAGCAACTGATGTGCATTGGTCAAGAGGGAGGGGGGCAGAGGAGTGCAACCAATGCACATTGGTCAAGAGGGGGGTGGAGGAGTGTGACTGATGTGCATTGGTCAAGTGAGAGAAGGGAGTGACTGATGTGCATTGGTCAAGAGGGAGGGATAGAGGAGAGCAACCAATGTGCATTGGATTGAGAGGTAGAGGGGTGTCACTCATGCACATTGGTGAGAGTGGGAGGTGTATGTGACAGCGTTGAGGGGGTGGAGCTTGAGGTTGTGGTTGTGGCAGTTGCAGC